ACATAATCCAGAAATCATCTCTACTTCTTTGGAAAATGCATTAGGGGATTACTATTTTTGTTTGTTTTTCTTGTTTGCCTTATTGAATTTTAAAACCTAAAACTGTAAGGGACCTGGGAGATCATTTGGCCCATTCTTCCTTTCCTTCCCATTTTATAGATGAGGAAAACAAGGATATGAAGGGATTTGCCCAAGGTCACGCACTAGTAGGTACCAGAGGCAAGATTCAAACCCACATCGTCTGACTCAAAATTCCATACACATTATACTAAACTATGCTCCCTTCTTATATATGATATGCCAAGGAGGAAAGTCTTGGAATCTCTATATTTATACTAACTGAGGGTGAAGGAGTGGGCTGGAGAGTGGGAAGAGTGAAGGTTGATAAGATATTAAGTATTAGCTGTGGAAATTCCCCTCTTGTTAACCTCCTCTCTATAAAACAGAGGCTCTTAATCTCTTTGTGCCTCAGACCCCTTTGGCAGTCTGGTGAAGCCTATAGACTCTTGGAATCCTGTTTTTAAATGCTTAAAATAAAATATATACGATTAAGAAACAAACCAATTATAATTGAAATATCGGTAGCAAGATAGTTAAGAACTCTTACTGTAAAGGGCTGAAAAACCCTAGTGTCTTCTACCTCCTGTTTCTGATGCTAGAGAATTGTTCTGTCAGATGCCTCTCCTAGGAAAAACAAACAAACAAGCAAATATAAAAGCTTCTGCAAACACAAAAAGTAGATGTGAAGGACTTCTTGGGGATGATTTATGACATGCAAACATGCAACCTGACAGTGTTTGCAGAGTTCACAGCCAGATACTTAAACCAAAACTTGTGATTAAGATGTTTCAAACACTTGGAAGTCTAAACCAGATTAAAATGCAACTTGGTAAATATTTAACAAAATAAAGAAAAATAGACTAGAACATAGATATTGTTAATATGTGATTTCCTTAGCCAATAAATGTCTGGTAGAAATAATTTTGACCCTGGGCAAGTTACTTAATCTTATTTGCCAAAATTTTCTCATCTGTAAAATGAACTGGAGAAGGAAATGGCGAACCACTCCAGTATCCTTGCCAAGAAAACCTCAAATGGGATCACAAAGAGTTGGACACTACTGAACAACAGCGGTGGCTTCATTTCTATTTGGGTTTGACCATTGTGGTGTAGCCTTCTCTGAAATGCCATGAGCAGATGATTCCAGAATGTTTCCATGAATTATGTGATCTGCTTCAGGTTCCCCAGGCTTCTAGCACCCATCCAATTCTTTCTCTGGAAGACCAACACAAAAAGAAAGGGAAAAATCTTCGGGATTTGCAATGGAAACCTTCTTTTCCTCTGATAATGAAGAAAGACAAGGTTTAAATATTAGTTTTGAGAGGTTTGATGGGAGTGGTCCTCAATTTAACTATGTAGTTTGGTGCTAGCACCATGGATACCTCTGCCCTAAGACCTGGGCAGCCTTCTAGTGCCACCTCTTCCCTTTAACCCAGGTCTGACTTGTTTCCACTCCCACAAGGCTTTGCTCTCAGCTGCTATTGTGAAATATCTGATAAAGAAAAGCTAATCTGTGCTATTCAATCTCTTTATCAAGGACTTAGATGAAGGCATAAAGACCATGCTTATCAAATTTGCAGAGGACATGAAACTGCAGGAGATTGTTAACACATTCAGTGATAGAATCAGGATTCAGAAGTATGCTGACAGACAGAAACCATGGGTGGAACCTAATAAGATGAAACTTTATAGAGAGAAATGGAAGATCTCACAGATAGGTTCAGATACAGGATGGGGGAAACATGACTCCATGATATGGTCATTCACTCAGACAGATCCTGGGGAATTCCATGAACTGCCTGCTCAAGATGTATCATTAGTGTAACGCTGCAGTCAAAAATACCCATTCACTCTTAGGTTTCATTTTCTGGAGTATTAGATCCAGTTCTGAACGTATCACAGCTTAGGAAGAATACTGACAAGCTGAATCCAGCATATGAGAGGAGCAGCTTTGTACAAGAATGGTAAAGGGCATTGTACTAAGATTCAACAGGGTTAAATTTGAACCCTAGTTCTTCCACTAAACAATGTATGGTCTTGGTTAAAATGCAAAACATCCCCATGTCTCCATTTTGTCATCTCTTAGATAAAAAAAAAAGATTGGACTAGATGGTCAGAAGTGTTGGTTGGAGTGACAGGCTTGGAGTTAGACAGACCTGGGTTCATAATCTGTCTTGGATAATCATTATTTATGTGACAAAAAATTAACCTCTCATACCTTCTGTCTCCTCATTTATAAAATGAGAAGTTTTGGCCTGATGGCTTCTAGTGTCTCTTCTAGCTCTGAATATATGATCTATAATCTAAGAATTCCCATCCAATTCTTATTATTTATGAAGCTGTGTCCAAAAGCAAGGGGGTTGATGAAGTGACTCAGGAGGATGAGAGCTATACAGAGATCTGTTAAATAAACTGAAAAGGTTTAACCTGGAGAAGGGACCTAGAAGCATGAGATATTTAATATTCAAAGGCCTGTCACGTGGAAGAGAGAATATACTTGTTCTACTTGGCAACAAAACTGAAACCAATGGGTAGAAATTGCCAAGAGACAATATAAGGAAAATATTCTGAACAATTAGAGCTTTCCACAAGCAGAATAGGTTGCCTCAAGGGACAGTAGGTTCCCCATCACCAGGTTATGACAGAGCAATGATCCACATGGAGCAATCAGGACATCAGGGATGTAGGGCCCCGAGACACAGATATCCATGGGGCAAGCTCTCTCCCTTGAGCAGTTTACTTTCACCATAAGAGAACCACACATTCACATGCATGCACACACACACACACACACACACACACACGCACACTGACATCTGTGCCCATGCCTGGCCTCATAATGTTTAGCCAATGCTTACTATGAGGTAGAGCAATTATCCCCCATGTTGTTATGGCTTCCACTTGAAGGCCTGATGGAGATAAGAACTATGCTACTCTGTCTCAGCCCAACTGTATCTGTACTCCATATTTTGCACCCTGTAGTCTCTACTTTGCAACTACCTCTTGCCCAAATATTCTTGCTTGGAGTAACAGTCTTGCCCAGCATTCAAAGTCTTCTAGCAGAGTTTTGATGGCCGCTTGTCAGGATATCTGGAGGATGTTTTTAGGTGTTCAGACTGGATGGACTAAGGGGAGAAAGCATCATACAGTGAGGGAAATGCCATATTTAGAGGGAGAAGATCTGGTTTCAAACCCTATCTCTGTCATTGATAAGCTATGTAACCTTGGGCAAGTCACAAGCTCTCTGTATCAGTTCCTTCATCTGTAAAATGAGGGTATTGGACTGGGTGATCTCAAATGTCCTTTTCATTGCTAAACTGATAATTCCATGACTAGATAGATGGTTCTTAAACCATGTGAACTTATAGGGGCACTGAGGGATATTTTAAATTTTAAAGTTTTGACCTAACTACTTAATAAATAGAACCACTAGGTATTTCTTTTGCTCTAAGAACACCATGAAGAAATTACAGAGATTCTAGGGCACCTTGAATGGAGAAAGTTTGGGAAACTCTGACCTTCCAATTTAAGATTTTATGATTCTATTCTAAGATGTTGTCTGACAGCTAGATAAGATATTATTTTTCTGAGAGTCTTTTCCTTTCAGGCCTGGAGAGCACTTGATTGTTGCTCTGGTACTCACATTATCTCATTTGGTCCTCACAACAACACTGTGAGGTAGACACGAGAGTCATTATTATTCCCATTCTTCAGAGTAGAGAACTGTGGCATAGAGAGCCTAAGTGATGGAAACCAGGACTAAAACCCAGGTCTCTTCACTTTTAGTTTGAAGCTTTCTTTACTACATCTCTACTATATTGAAAGATCTTTAAAAAAAAACCCTCAAAATAATGAATATTAATGGGGAGATTGCAGGTTTTGTGAAAAGGAATTCTATAGTTCAAGGAATACCCTTTCAGGGCCCTTCAAATTATAGCAAGTTATAGCATTATAGCAAATTAAGTGCCATCATGCACTTAAAAGGCTGACTCTTAAGTTTACATTTTTCTTTTGGAGGAAAGAGCAGGGAGGTAGATGGGGAAGAGAAGTGTCCAGACTTATGATCTGATCAATGTAAGGAACTCCCCACATGGAAATTCCTTCCATTGATACAGATCAATTATTTGTCCCCAATGTAAAATTTCCTGGAAGACTAGGAAGTTATGACCAGTCCAAGGTCTCATAGCAAGGGTATTTCAAAGTTAAGACTTGAACTTATATCTTCCTGACCCCCAAGGCTGACCCTATATCCACTGTTTCTATATTTCTACTTTTAAAAGGAGAATGCATCTTAGAGTGTGAGTCAGAAGACTTGTTTTATAGTCCCAGCTCTGCCATTAAGTAGTTGAGTGACTATGGGCAAGCTGTAGAATCTAAAACTCATGGAATATCAGAGCTAGAAGGGCCCTTAGAGACTCCCTAGCCCAGACTCTTCCTTTTATAGCTGAAGCTGAAGTCACTGAATCTCTCTGAGAAGTCTTTTTTTTTACTTGAAAAAACAGTGATAATATTTGCCTCTTTTACCTTAGAGAGTTATGATAAAAATTCAGTGAAACATTGTGCAATATGCTGTTTGCAAACCATAAGGTCTGATACAAATATAAGGCGAGACTATATCATAATTCTCATAGCCATCGTCATTTTCTTCATCATTTTTATTTTGTCATCATTATCCACAATCAAAGAACAAGAAATGGTTGAAAATTGTAACAAGGGAGATATTTAGGCAAAATTCACTTCGGAAGAGATTGTAGAAAGAGAAATTAGTCTCCTTTTTTACCCCAATTCCCTTACTACTTCTGGAGGGGGATTAGATCTCGATGGCCTTGGATTGAGTAGTTGCAACCTGAAGTGGGGGGAGACAGGTGAATGGGATCAGCCACTAGGAAGTAGAGGTTTCTTGGTTGGTCAGATGGATGTCACTCTGGCTCCTCTTACAGGTCAGTCTCACTACAGCTGTGGAATGCTCTGAAGTCCCACTGTAAGCCATGGAGGTCTCTGTGCTCAGCCCCACATCCTGGGAAAAGCGGCGGGCATGGCTGCAGAAGACCCACAACTGGCAGACGCAGATCCTAGAGGAGGAGGCAGCAGCTGCCTTGCAAGATGTTCCAGACCCTGAGCCCCCCAACCTGGATGATGTCTTCTTGGAAGGTGAGGAGAAGTTAGGCATCCAGAAGGATTTGAGGCCATCAGAGTGGGCTCCTCTGGGGAAATAATGCTAGGCATAGCTCGGCAGAGTGTAGACTTATGAGAGCTTCATTTTGACCACTTTCAGAAGGTTAAGAAGAGTTGAGGCATTGGGCAGAAGACTGAGAGTACTTTGCCTATAGAAGATGGTGAAAAGAAGTGTTTGGTGAATGAATGATTGTGGTTGTGTGGTTGTGGTATGTCCTTCATTCTCAAAGAGGACCATGACATCAGGGAGATGATGACATGACTTGCATTTGACTTGGATTTGAGTGAGGGAGTGATGTGCAAAGTCACCAGCCTCATTTTCTCCTCCAGAGCCATTTGGGTCCAGTGGCCAGATGTCTATCAGGATGACTGGAGATGGCCCAGGATACAATGGGAGACCTTGGCCCTTTTAAAGGTCTAAGGTCTTTTCAAGTTCTCACTTTGAGTAAGGCAACACCCATTCAGTGAATAGGCCTCTTTAAGAGGTGAGTCAAAGGATGGCCCCTTTAATAAAAAAAAAATCAAACTGGGAGGGGAAGACCCTCAGGGTTGCTTGGCCAAAAGAGAAACAGTTACTGTTTACATTCACTATGAAAATGAATGAATGAATGAATGAATGAGAAGCAGGGAATCAGTCTTAAGGAATCTGACAATGGGGAGGCATTAATAGGATATCAAAATATGAGAGCTCAGCCCCAAGAGTATATAGTGTCTTGGAACTAATCTGATTTATTGTAACATACCATGGAAAGAACATTGTACTGGGAGTCAGGGGACCTGGGGTTCTTGTTTTGTCTCGATAGAATTTCCATGTGACCTTGGGCAAGTCTTTCTATTTCTATTTCTTTGGGGATAAACATGGACCTACTTCCCAAGGTAGTCACTTAACTTACCTTGGGGAGGTCATCCAACCTAAGCAAGGGAAGTCATACTTTTATTATACTCGATCTTAGGAAGAAAAGACAAGTCTAAGTAATAAAAGTGCCATATCACTGAGACTGAATTGAGTGGCTGTTGGTAATGAGGTAAGTAGAGGAAGGTAGGAAGTGGAGAGAGGAAAAGAGTGACACCTTGGTTCAAGTTTCCTTTGATTCTCTTGCTAATTTAATTTCTGATTTCTTTAGAGAGCCCCACAAATAAAATTGAAGACTGGCTTCAGGATTGTGGGTAAGTACAAAACTATGACCTGTGGAAAGCAAGCCAAAGTGGGAGAAAGATGAGTTCCCTGACTCCTAACCTAAATTTTCACTCTCTGGATTTGGGAAGAGACTATAGGAAAGTGCTTAAGATTGTGAGTGTCTATCCTACTTTTTTTGCTAGAGCTTAAGGTTAGGACTAACGGATGGGCCTAGAGCTTTAAGATATAAGTAAGGATTTGAGTTTGGGATTGGGATGTAGGTTAGGAGTAGGGAATAGAGTTGGGACTAAGAACTAAAGTTAGGAGCTATAGCTGAGTGGCTCTATGTTGACTGTGTTACTTCACAGAGTCACAGTCTCAGAATTAGAGGAGACCTCTGAGGCCCTCTATTTTACTCATACATGACTTACAATCCCTTCTAAAACAAAACCAACAACATAAAAAGCTTATCCAGCTTTTGCTTGAATATTACTAGTGAAAGGGACCCAACAATGTCCTGATGTAGCCCATTCCACTTTTAAGTAGCTCGAATAATTAGAAACTTCCTCCTATATCTGCTCCTTTGCATCTTCCATCCACTTCTCTTAGTTTTGCCCTCTGACCCTGAGCAGAGTATGTCTGATTCCAAAAGATAGACCTTCGAATGTTTGGAGATAGCTATTGTGCCTTCTCCAGGCTAAACATTCCTGGTTCTTTCCACAAACATTAAGAAGTTGAAGTCATTTGCTAACCTCATTGCTCTCCTGTGGAATCTCTCCAACTTATCAATGTCCTTCCTAAAATGTGGCACAGGAATTGAACTGACCAGGAAAGAGTATGGTAGGAGTATTACCTCCCTCATTCTGAATACTGTGCTACTCTTAATGTAGCCAAATATTAGATTAGGTTAAGTTGGGGGGTTTGGAAGTTTTGGGGAGATTTTTTTGGACTGCTATATCTCACTTAGTGTTAACTCATTTTGAGGTTTTTAGTATCTAAAAGTCTCAATTACCTTTCAGATGAATTGTTTATCAAATCACACCTCCCCCATATTCTGTTTGTACAATTGCTTATTTTTATTTATTCCATTACATTTAATCTCATTAGATTCAGCTCAAAATTCTAGCCTATCTTTTGTCATACCAACTCTGTAATTTGATATGATAGCTGCCTATTCCAATAGTCATCATGGACAAATTTTACAAGTGTGCCATCCAGGCCTTCATCTATAATGTTGGTAAAAATTTTATATGGCAAAATAAACAAGGACAAATCTCCATGCTACTCTGTGAGAGACCTTCCTCTATTATGACTTCGACTCATTCATTACTAATCATTCTTTGGAGTCAGTCATCCCATTATTTAATTCCTTTTTTTTAATTTTTGAGCTCTTAATTCTCTCCCTACCTCCACCCTCCTGCCCACCCATTGAGAAGGCAAGCAATCTGATACCCATTATACATGTCATGCAACACATAATTCCAAATTATGCATGAGGCCAAAAAAGAGCAAGAAAAATGAAGAAAGTGGAGAAAAATGCTTCAATCTGCACTCAGAGTTCACACAGAGAGTTCTCAGGACTAATGGCATTTTGCATTGAGTCCTTTGGAATTATTGTGGATTACATTACAATATTGCTCTTATTGTATAAAATGTTCTCCTGGTTCTGCTCACTTTACTTTGCATCAGGTCATATAAATCTTCCCAAGTTTTGAAACCATCCCCTTCATTCTTCCTTTTTTTTAATCCCCTTCATTATTTCTTACAAAACAATAGTATTCCATCACAATCATATTCCTCAACTTGTTTAGCCATTCCCCAATTGATGGGCATCCCTTCAATTTCCATTTCTTTGCCACCACAAAAAGAGCTGCTATAAATATTTTTGTACACATGGATCCTTTTTCTCTTTCTTTGATCTGTTTGCAATACAGACCTAGTAGTGATATTGGTAAGTCAAAGGCTATGCACAATTTGATAGCCCCTGGGCGTAGTTCCAAATTATTCTCCAAATGGTTAGACCAATTTAAAATTCCACCAATAGTGTATTAATATACCTACTTTCCCACACCCCTCCAGTATTTGTCATTTTCCATTTCTGTCATGTTAGTCTTGCAGATAAATGTGAGGTGGTAGGTACCTCAGGGTTGTTCTAATTTTCATTTCTTTAATTGTTAGTGAGTTTAGAACATTTTTTCATGACTATTGTTAGTCTTTCTTCCTTCTTCTGAAAACTGCCTGTTCATATCTTTTGATCATTTATCGAGTGGAGAATGTTTCTTATTTTTATCAGTTTGACTCAGTTCCCTATATATTTGAGAAATGAGACCTTTATCAGAGAAACTTACTGTAAATGTTTTTCCAAGTTTCTTCCTTTCTAATTTTGGCTATATTGGTTTTATTTGTGTAAAAGTTTTTAAATTTCATGTAATTAAAATTATCCATTTTATCTACTATGATCCTCTCTATCTCTTGTTTGGTCATAAACTCTTCCCTTAGCTATAGATCTGACAGACAATTTTTTTTTTCATGTAGAGCCAATCATTCAACTAGTTTTAAAACCACCATAGCTTACCATCTTGTCCTCAAGGAAGTAGGAGCTGTTGTCCAATGCTTTATGCATATCTAGCTAATCTATATCTCTACTTCCCTTTAATCTTCCTGTAAACCTGTTGCAAAAGGAAATGAGGTTGGTTCTGTGTGACCATGAAGCCATGCTGGATCACTGAGCTCACTGCCTCTAAATTTTCTAGGACTGCTTCACAACCATACCTTTAAAGTTGCTTTCTGAATTTTTCCTAGTGATCAGTCAAGATTCTACTCCCATTCCTTAGTACTCATGTGACCTTAGACAAGTCACTTAAATTCTATAAATCTCAGTTTCCTCATCTGCAAAATTAAAAGAATAGACAAGATGATGTCTACAATCCTTTCCAATTCAAAATCTTATGCTTTTATGTACTGTATATCCAGACATTTAGTAGATGTGATGGGAAATATAGCCTCATTCAACAAAGCCAATTCAACAAATACTAATTTAGTACCCATTATGAGCAAAGTATGTAAAACAACAAATATAGACATATGTTAGCACAAAGTATATAAGTGAGATTTTTCTCATAGGAAAAATTATCTTTTAACTAAAAAAAAATAATAACCCCCATGTAGTAAACAATATAAAGTTATAAGTAACACAGGGTAGGAGCTGTACCACTTTGCACAATGCCTAGCAATATCCCACATAAAAAGCACTGTCTGGCTATAGGATGGAGATAATGTTGTACATTCACATTGTTCCATGAAGAAGACAGAAAATGGAAGTAGGGAAACCAGCTAACAGAAGGTTATAGTAGTATATTATAGTGTATTATAACAGTATATATATATATATTATACATATACACATATATGCATATATAAATACATATATAAATAATAGTCTAGGTAAGAGTCAACTCAGTGGGAATATGAAGCAAACATTCTTGGACTTTCCTTGCACAACATGGGAAGCCTGACATCAAGTCAGTCAAGAAACACTTATTAAGTACTTACTGTGTGCCAAAAAATATGCTAAGTGCAAAAAAAGGCAAAAACAGGCAATGTCCTCAAAAAGCTTACATTCTAATAAGGAAGAATACACCAGATATAAACAGAGTAGATGGAAGTTAATCTTGTAGAAGATGAGATGTGAATTGATTCATGAGGGAAGCCAACAAAACTAAGGGGTGGAAGTGAGAAAGGATAGCATTACAGGCATGGGTGATGGCCAACATAAAGTCATGGAGATGGGAAATTGAGTGTCATATGCTGCAAACAGCAAGAAGGCCGGTGAAGCTGGAACCCAGAGTTTATGGGAGTAAAATAAAAACAAAAACAGAAACTTGGAAAGGCAGGAAGGACCCAGGAAACAGTAGGGAGTCATTGATTTTTTTTTTTTTTTGAGTAGGGTATGATATGGTCAAACTGACACTTTAGGAAAATCACTTTGGCAGATGAATGGAGGGTAGATTGGAATGGAGAAGACTTATAAAGGTCTGAACCAGAGAGGTGGCTGTGTAAGTGAAGGAAAGGGGACATATAATGAGAGATATTGTGAAAGTTGAAATGACAACATATAGCAACAGATTAGATGCATGGGGTGAGGGAGAAGTCAGAGATAATTCTGAGGTTGTGAGCCTGGGTCATGGGGAAGATGGTGGTATTGTGGACAGCAATAGGGAAGCTGGGGAGAAAGGAGAGCTTGCTGGGAAAGATGAATTCTGTTTTGAACATTTTGCTTTTGAGCCGCCTGTGAGATATCCAGTTGGAGATGACCAAAAGATAGTTGGTGACATGGGTGCTCAGGAGAGAGACTGCAGCTAGGTCTATAGAGCTGGGAATCAACTGCATAGAGATGCTAATTAGCCTGGGAGAAACATGAGCAGCCATCTAGTACCCAGGAAAGTTCTATGATCTTTATGGTAAAGTAGCATAAACTTAGCTTTCTATGTTTCAGATCCTCTGAGGAAGGGTTTCCTGAAGATCCCGGCCTGTCCATCCATGGTGGTGAGTGCTGAACCTGTTCCCTCCCTTGTTCTCTTTCCTGGACTGCAGATTGTGTCAATTTTTTTAGCTACATATTTTCTTGCAAATATATACCATCGATCCCTGGAAGCTCAGGTAAGGGATTACTGATAGTTCACAGCAGGGATCAGTTGGGTTTCCTCCATGTACAGATAGCTCATTTTCTAAATGACAGCATAGCTTATTCTTGTCCACATTACTACTCAGTCAATAAATATTAAGCACCTATTATGTGCTAAGCACTGTTCTAAGCATTGGGGATACAAAGAAAGGCAAAAGATAATCCCTGCTTTCAAAGAGTTCATGGTATATGTGACTTGTAACTGATTGTATGGGGGTAGGGGAAGGAGTAGGGAAAAGAAAATTTTAGTTACATGTGACTATGTGTGCAGTTGTGTATATTTAAACATGAATGTATATAGATGTGTGTTTCATTTGTGTGTACAAGTGTGCATACTTACTCATGAGTTTGCATGTAGTTTTGTGTATCATGATTTTGCATACATGCATGTGTGGCTGTATACCTGTATGCCCCCTTCTGCTTTCCTATTTCTCGGGAAAGCAAGTCTCCTTTAACTGAGATCCTCTTGGTTTCTTGGTTATGTCTAAGGATGTCCCAGCCATGAAGCCAGCTTTGATGATGACCTGACCTTAGGAGCAGAGGGTAAGAGCTAAAAGTTTCAGGGTGGGTTCTGAGGGAATTATCAAGAGCAGAGGCTTAGATGTGGGTTCTGGAGAGGGGTTGGGCATCTCTCTACTTTAGATTAATGGAGGCTACCACCAACATTGGGAAATTTGAAGGATACAGAAAAGCCTCACACACACACACACGCACACACCCACACACACACTTTTTGAAATTCACTATTAGAAAGGCATCCCTTTGAATCTCCATATCTGTCTTTAAAAATTAAAAAAAAATGTTCTCAAAGGAGTGGTATATTAATACAAATCACCTTAAGCTTCTGGGGACTTACAACAATAGAACCACAGACTGCCAGACATAGAAAGGATTTTAGGTTTCACTCCTAATATCTCAGTTTTAAAGATGAGGAAACTGAGGCCAAGAGAGGCAAAGTGACTTACCAGATACTTTCTTGGAGAGATAGAATAGCTTGGGAACCTGAGGGGGTTAGGAAAGGGATACTACCCCTGAGAAGATGAGGGGTTGATCAGCTTCCTATTTCACTGTTTTCCCTTGGATTGGCTCTGATCATCATTATGATCTAAGACAAAGAACATGCCTAAGCTGAGCATTGTCAACAGTCCAGACTCTAGAGACTTATTATCTGAGACTAACAAGGCTGGCACACAGACCCAAGCCTAAGCAAGCCAGAGCAGGCCTGGTCCCATGCTATGGGAGCCAGGATGGAACATCCAGTCTCAGTCCTGGAAACAGTCTGATGCAATGAAGGAAACACTTGATTAGAATTAAAGAACGTGAATTCAATTCCCATCTATCTTGACAAGTCATATAATTGTGAGTATGCCCTACATCTACTTTCTATTAGCCATATAACTGAAAGCAAATCACTAGCCCTTTCTAAGCCTCAATTTCCTCATCTGTCAAACCTGGATAATAATATTTGCACTACTTTGTAAAATATTAAATAAATGTGAGCCATAATCATTATTCTCATCATACTTGCCCATGGACACATAGCCAGCCTCAAACTCAGCTCATCTACTTCCAAAGTGTCTTGGTGAGACCAGATGGGAACATAGCTGACCCTAAGGTCAGAGGACCTGGATTTGAAGCTCTTCTCTTCCATTTTCTCAGTGTGTGAGCTCACACAAATTATTTCATCTCTTGTGGCCTCACTCATCTATAAAATAAGGAGTTTGGTCTGGGTAACCTCCAGAGTCCTTTCAACTGCGTTTAACATTCTCAGATTCTATAATTCCTGCCCCTGGAGAGTTGTACATTGGTCAAGCAACCCCTTTCGTCATAGGCATTCTGGGAAAATCCCAGTATGAAGACAAATCCATGGAAATAGAAAAGAGCACAGACAGGTGTTCTCATTAAACTGATACAGGGATAGACTAAGGGCTCCCAGGGACAAGCAATAGGAACATGAAAGGTGGTCCAGGTAGAGGTAGAGGAACAGAGGAGAAAGGGCTGGCCAGTCAGACTGGGACAAGATGGAAAACTCTGACCACTCTTTTCACTGTTTCTTTGTTTTCTTTTCCTTTCTTCTCCATCCCTCAGCAATTCTGTTAGCATCCAATGGCAAACTCCTTTCCAGGTGAGTGATGAAGGTCATTCCAGTGAAACTGGGTGCCCTGCTGGCAAACCAGAAAGGTGGGCTCAGGATTCTTCCATGTCTCTTAGAGAACAACCCAAATATACATTCCTCATGTTACCCTGGCCTGTTAACATAGGCCTCCAGCATCCCACCCCCAAAATATTGCTTTTCCAAATACCTTCCTTTCCTTTCTCCATGGAACTCATAAACAGCAAGTGAGGTGCCGTGGTCCATCTGGCCATTAGCAGCTAGTCTGGGAATGAGAGTATCTAGCAGAAGGAATGAGTTTGCTCAGAAGGGAGTGAGAATATTTAATGGAAGATGAAAGTGCCCCTTGTGGACACTGAGGTAACCAGACAGAGAGAAGAAGGACATTAGGAGACAATTGAGATGTTGTCCAGATATGGCATTGGAGGGCCCAGTGGGAGATGAGAATACCCAGAAGGAGATTCAGGTGGTAATTAGATTGACACTTCCACCACCATGATCATCCATCTCACTGAGAATAGCTTGGGGAGCAGTTATCAGAGATGGTACTTCTTGGGAGAAAGGTTAATGACAGTATCTCTAATCCTTACAGGAGTTTCCTGGAAACAACCAGGCCAGGGCATCTACTCAACCTTGGCTGCAGTATGGCATCTAGCAACATGACCAGTGGGACCAATAAGACCAGTTCAAGGTAGGGAATGCATGGCAGGTAGGGGAATGAGAACAAAACCTTCAGGCCACTTTGAGCCTCCCTTCTCCTTTTTTTTTAGTCTCCCTTTAAAGCCTATTTCCTGAGGCTTAAATAATCATCCATCAACTGACAAATAGGAATTAACATCAAATGAATGATCAAAACTTATTTCCTGCCCTGTACCACTGTGTCTGCAGAAGATACTGCCCAACTTTTTGAGTCCAATTTGAAAAATAAACAGTCCTTGAGTGTTAGTCTTGAGAAGGCAACTTTAAGATTTCAACATTGCAGGACTTCCTTGTGGATAATTGAGAGCTGACTAGTTAATAAATAGACTTAAAGGTACCAGTAAAAACTAAGCAAGTCAAAATAAATATTTATAGAAGCACATTTGATTTTTAAAGAGCATTCACACCTTACCATTTGTGTGACTCCAAGCCAATTCAGTTTCCTTATCTGAAAAATAGGGGTAATGATACCTGAAAGGCTCAGGTACAAACTCACATCCTGAGAATAAGGGATTATTTTGCAGATATAACTGTTGAACAACCTAATTCCTAATTCCTATCCTCAGGCAATTTGGTGACAAGGGTAGGCAGAGACAGAGAAAACCTGGGTTAAGATTTCTAAGTCATTTAAGATTTAGAAAGTACTTTCTTCACAACAACCTTGTGAATTTGGTAGTATAACTGCTTTCACTGGTAAGGAAACTGAAACTCTTGAGAGGTGAGATGATTTGCCCAGTTAGGAAGTGTAGGAGCTGAGATGCAAAGGGGATCAGGGTGACATATCTGATTTTGAGTCCAGGAATCTTTTTACTTTCTTTCCTTCCTTCCTTCCTCCTTCTCTCCCTCCCACCCACCCTCCTTCCCTCCTTCTTGCTTCCTTCTTCTTTCTTTCTTCTTCCTTCCTTCCTTCCTTCCTTCCTTCCTTCCTTCCTTCCTTCCTTCCTTTCTTCCTTCCTTTCTTCCTTCCTTTCTTCCTTTCTTCCTTCCTTTCTTCCTTCCTTCCTTTCTTTCTTTCTTTCTTTCTTTCTTTCTTTCTTTCTTTCTTTCTT